TGGCGGGTCATGGGTGGTGGTGACGGGTGGCGGGCAATGGTGATGGGTAGCGGGTGACAGTGATGGGTGGCGGGTAATGGTGACAGGTGGCGGGTGACGGCCAGGCAGACGCGGAGCCTCATGGGTGACACGGAGCGGGCAGCAGCTCAGCTTCCGATGGCCACAGCTTGTCCCCTGCCCCCGCGCTGAAGGCCTGCAGCACCGTGTGCACCCCTGTGCTGTCGCCCACCGCGGGCGGGTGCTGCCTTGGAATGGGCGAGAGAAAAGAAAATTGAGAGGAGCGGCTTTCCCACCCCGCCTTCGTCTCCAGAGCAGGATTCCAGCCTCTGGGAAAGCAGAGGAAGAAACGGGAAGGAGCCTGCAGACGAGGAGGAGAAGGGGCCTTGCCAAGGTCTGCTTGGGCTCTGAGCCGCGTCACAGCAGTGGGGAGGAAAAGGATTTCTGTTTGCTCCGGGTGTTTTTCCGCTTCGTTCTTCATCTTCAGACTCTGACGTACAGTTTGTCTTCGCTGGAGCCTGGCGGGGAGCGGAGCCCGGGGGTTTGGGTTTGGTTTATTCAGAAATGGCTGCGGACACCAGCCCCGACGCGTTAGCATTCGCTGCTTAAGGGGAAAAGTCGAAGGGCAAGAGCCGGCTGGAGCCCAGGCCCATGTGCTGTCACCCTGTCACACTGTCACGCCGTCGTACCGTCACTCCGACACATCATCACATCATCACACTATCACGCCATCGTATTGTCACACCATCACACCGTCACGCTATGATGCCGTCGTATCGTCACGTCGTCGTGTCATCACACCGTCATGTCATCACACCCGCACGGTAGGGCCAGGCGTGGAGCCCAGGCCCATGTGCTGTCACCCTGTCACACTGTCACGCCGTCGTACCGTCACTCCGACACATCATCACATCATCACACTATCACGCCATCGTATTGTCACACCATCACACCGTCACGCTATGATGCCGTCGTATCGTCACGTCGTCGTGTCATCACACCGTCATGTCATCACACCCGCACGGTAGGGCCAGGCGTGGAAACCCAGGCTGGGAGATGCAGCATCGCGACGAGCTTCCCCCCGCTCCAGCGCTAACGAAGCCCACGCTGTGGAGCGGGGGCTGGGCAGGGGAGCTGCAGCAGCACCCGGAGCAGGGTGCTGGGGGCCGAGCTCACAGGGAAAGTCGCCTGCAGACGAACTTGGACCCAGGACTCGATCTCACCAGGCGGAGTTTCCAAGGATTTCTCCTCCTGGTGCGGCCTGACTTGGTTCAGCCTTAAATATTTGGGGCACAAAAGGCTTTTTCACTCTTCTTCCTCCAGTGCATGGAGGGTTTGAGGTTTCCTTATGGCCACCCTTAATTAAGAGCACGGCTCTAACCCTAATCGTTGCCATAGGCAATATTCAATCCCCAGCTTCTCCTCTCACTGCTTTTGCAGCTCGGATTTCCTTTTTATTTTATTTTTTTTAATAAATAACGCCACCTCCTGTTTTTGCTGTTGTATTTTTGCAGGCAGTGTTTTTCCAGGAGCGTTCCCACTCACAGCTACGTCTCCCGCGAGCATCCCGAAGGGACCCCGTGCCACAGGAGAGCTCTCGCTGTTGGCCACCGAGTCCCAGGCGCTGTCGGTGGGAAATTGCAGCCCGGCCATCACATCCCCGGTGGAGCTGGGCCTGAGCTGCTCGTTCAGGGCCCGATCCTGCTTTTTCCGCAAAGGCAGCGCTGCTGTGAGTTTTCCCGCTGTCTCGCGTGGCTCCCAGTCCCGGCACTTGCTGCACTCCATGGGTTTCGCTGCCCAGACTCCATCACAGAATCCCAGGATCCCAGCATGGCAGGGGTTGGCAGGGCCCTCTGTGGGTCACCCAGCCCAACTCCCTGCCCAAGCAGGGTCACCCAGACCAGGCTGCACAGCACCG